GAATGGAGAGAGGACCTGCTCCCTTAAACCTCCTGTATTTCAGTGGCAGCTCTTTGTCTCTGAGGAAAGGAGCAATCGTACATTTGTTTTCAGCTTTAGAGGCTGAAATGAAATTAAGTCCATTCCAAGCAATGGAGTAGAATTTGCTTCCTAATCTCAGCAGCATCTCCTTTCCCTTCCCCTCACACTGAAACCAGCACTACCAGTAGCAGTGCCTGCATCACCTCTTCCCAATCCTGCAGGAGAATCTTCCTGGAGCCTGGCCTGCAGCAGGACTAAACAGGGGTCAGGGCTGCAAGAAAGGAGATGAGGGACATGAAAATGAGAAGAAAGTCAACAGTGATTTGAGATCCAGGAGAAATACACTGTTCTTTAAAACCAGTTCTCTTAGCTTTTCCCCAAAAAAGGGTCTGCTTCTTCATTTTGAAGAGAATTTGGGCTAAGCAAGGAAGTCTGGCTCAGCAGGTAGGTGGAGATAGGGATATGTTTGGTGTCAGCAGAGAAAAATCCCTATTTTATTAGGTAATTCTGTCACTTTCCCAGTTTACCCTGCCTGCATTGCCTTTCCTTCATGATCTCCTTAAGCCACACCTTCCTACTGCTTCTCAACCTGCAGAGCACAGGTGCCACCAAAGAGGATCCAAACACACTATTAACTCTCTGCTGCTGTCAAATTAACCTGTTACCAGGAGTTTTCAACTTACCGGCTTCCTCAAGAGGAATAGAAATAGTAAAAATATGTTATTTTGCCTTTGGAATGACAATCTGGCATCCTTTCTTATCTATTGATTTAAATAATTTAGCATTTTAAAAGGAACAAATTGACTTAATTTGTTTAGGGGAATACTTAAAAGTTGAGGACAATTTTATATAAATTAAAATCAGGGGTAATTCATTTGTGATGGAACTAATGTAATTAATTAGGTAGTTCCCATTTATCATTTTTCTAATACATACATTCCTTTTAAACATGTGCTCAATAGTTCGTTAGTAAATGATTTTACCTGAGAGCAATAGAGGAGCAGCTTCTTCCCAGTGAAAACTTCCTGGTTTTTTGGGAAACCTTCAGTCAGTCCTGGATTCACAATTTTAACTTGAAGCATGGCAAGCATGCAGGCAAATTTGAAAAGCAGAAACAAAACAAAATGAGAAATAAATTTCTTCATAGTATTTTTAATTCTTGCAATTTGGTTGAAACACCTTTTTTGTTAATATTTTAAATTACTTTTTTTTTAAGGCAGATATGCTTGTTTTGTCTTTAGAACTTCTAAGCAAAATTATGAATTTTTTTTATGGTGTGTGTATGTGTATGAGTGTTTTGCAGCAGTTATGAAATCTTCAAAATTTAAAATTATTTTGATATTGTCTAGTGCAGTAACTAAAATAATTCAGCATTAGCTCAAAAAAAAGAGACAATAATATATAAAAGGAAAGGTAACTAGAAGAATTATTCAAGGAAAAAATATAATAGGCTATCATTAAAATTAGGCTTGCGTTTTGTTGTGGGCTTTTTTTAATAAGTTGCACCTGTGTTTTATATTTATGGCTTTATCAGTACTTGGTCAAATACTGAAAACCAAATCTTTTGGGCTAATATGAAACTCTCTGGGGCTTCCAGGCTCTATTCAGCCATGCATAGATTTTTATATGTTCTAAAGATTACGTAAAATGACTGTACTCATTTTATTTATCTCATCAGCAAAGTTCATCTCATCAGCCAGAGAGATACCATCTAAACTTTTAGGCTACAAATTGTACTTTCCCTGCAAAAATACTTTGTGTTGTACTTACAGAGACTGTAAAGTACAGGATTGCACATCAACAATGTGCCTTTTTATGTAAGAAAACATGAAATTGCTGTTTATTGAGTGGAAAGGGTATTAGAGTAACTCTAAGAAGGATTCAGCTGTCTGCCTTTGTATGGAGATCTAAAATAGTCGCAAATTAGCCATGTTATCCTTAAAGCAGTGCATACATGCAGCTTTTTTTTTCCTAGAACTATAGTATTGAATACATGAACAGGTAGTTTTGCCATTTCCAGAAGTGTCTGTAAAGGCGGGACAAGCTGGTGACTAAGCAATAGGCAAGGCCATGATATGTGATGAAACATTAATGCCTGAGAAGCAGCATGATGTTGATTCCAGGAGGTTGGTCTGAGTGGGTTTTGTGAATTTTAATGTTTTATCAGTCCTGGGTACAGACTCGTTCTCTACCCCACCCCTACACACATGAAAGCCAAGCTGTAGCTGCATTATTTTAATTTTGTTCTCTTTTTTCCACAGGCTGCTTTTTTTTTTTTTTTTTTTTTTTTTTTTGCAGCTTTTTGGGCTGCTTTTGGGTTTTTCTTTTGCTATTCTCACTGAAGCCCTGATCAACTGTAAAGCCAATTCAGCATACTGTAAAGGAGAAATTTTTATTTTCCTTGAGATATATATATATTTTAAGGTGTATTTTGTATGTTACAGCAGGTATGACTCGTCTGAGGAGGAAAAGACTGTACATGTACATGGGAGCTGGGCATATCATACCAGACTTTACGGGCCCATGAAGATGGGTACAGAAATCACCACTGTCCCTTCTGGCATGTTGTCTTCAGGATCTCTTGGCATGCAGCTTTTAAAACTAGGTTAACACAGAGAGCACTTTTTTTAATGTTCCCTTTCAGATGCCTGTTCCCTTATAAGCTAAAATCAACCATTCCTGCAGCCATATAGAATTTTCCAGGAAACTTCTGTTCTGTGACCATCTGTGAGCTACTCATTTAGTGTCCAAAAATGTACCTTCAGTTCCTTGGTCTGCAGCTTCCCAAGCTCTGGGCTTTCCATTTGTGAACTTCTATGCATGTGCCTCAGCAGCATCTGGTTGTCAAATACTCTAAAACTGTGGAAAATCACACCAGGAAAAACCCCTCAAAATATTTTGCATGTTACAGTTTATAATTTTTTATATTTCTTTATAGATTAATCCATTGCTGAATTGAGTGAGAATGGGAGATAAAAATGCAAAATAGCTTTGAATTTTTTGTGTGTTAAGCCAGCATGGTGTTCAGAGGATGGTGGTTCTTTTCTGTTCAATCTTTTTTTTTTTTTTTTAAGTTTTGCTTGGACAGAGACCATAAGCCAATATTCAAAGCTGCTTGGCAATAGCCAAGTTGTGAAATGCACACCCAACCTGTGGGGCATTATGGTTGCTTAGTTCATGCATGTAAGCCTGGAGGTTTGAGCACTGAACAAGTCCACACCCATAGTGTCTTCTTGGAAAGTTTGTTTTAACATTTAATCTTAATGGTATTATTAATTTAATGGTTCCATTTTGAGAGACGTTGAGTAATGACAGTTTTTAGAAAAGTCCAAACAACTGGGTGCTTAGTACTGTTTGAATATTAATTTGAAATGTTATGAAGTCTGGGCTGCAGCTGGGGTATATCTCGATGCAGTTAATTCCATCTCCTATGATTTAGTTCAAATCTAACTTTACTACTTTACACCGGAAATATACATTAACAGGTAAAAAAAATAATCTCAGTTTTAGAAGCATTATTAGCAAAAACAACCCCTGGCAAAAAGCCTTTAAAGAAAGTAGATCAGAGAATTTTTGGTGGATGCATTTGATTTGTCTTTTTGGCAAGCAAAACCAGATTATTTAAGGATACACTTTTAAAATGCTCTGTACTAAATGTAACAAGGAGAGATGCAGATGTAGTAACTTTGCTGTGCCAGTTACTGTGTGTCACGTGAAAAGAAGGGGGGGTTTACCCAATCCTTGGTGTGTGGGAGATTTTCTTGATCCTCAGTGATTTATTTGTCTGTTGGTGCCCCAGGGAAGCTGAGACTCCTGTGCCCAATCAGTCTGTCAGCGTCCTGTGGGGGGGACCCTTCACTAAATAGATTCACTGGGTTGGAGAGTGATTCGACTGCCCTTTTCAGCAGGGGCTCAGCCAACAGGGTGGAGACCCCTCAGTGGGTCTTCCCAACCTGTTAACCACCACTGGCAACTACCAGCAGCTGTGAAGGACTCACTGTAACAGTTTATGGAATACCACTCTTTATTAATACAAATTGGGACAGGTTAATAAGGTTCAGGGTCGTCAGTGGCAGTGTCTGACTGCAAAAATGTGTTCAAAGTGGTCTGCTAATATCCTATAAAGCAAACACAGGCTCTGATCCTAAAAACACCATTCAGCCCACATAGAATGTGTTTCTTATCCAATAGGCCCCTATGGGGGGGAGAGAACAGATACCAGCAGTTTTAGTGGAGTCTTCCCTCAATTTTCCCCCTATCCCTGCCTTACTTTTATACTATCTCTTTAGGTTAGGTGGAGCTTGAGTGACTTTAGTCATTAATACTTTTATCTCTGATTGATGTAAACTCACTTCACATGCTTAAGGGGGGTGGTCATATGTTGGATTCCAAGGATTTCAGTATAATTGTTGGCTCAGCTGCAGAGCACTTCATCTCTGTCTCTTGGTTGACAGGTACTATGTGGTCTTTGAACCAGAAAGTTCTTCCATGTTCCCACCCTGCAGGGATTTTTATAGAGTGAGGCCATAGTGTCTCCACACCACCCTCCCTTCCATCCCCCATAGCAGAAGCTTATCGTTATATAGGGAACCCTTGTATTTCCGTCCAGGGAGACGCATCTGCATTTTACCCTATAATCCTTAGTCTCCTCTTACTTTTAACCCCAGCCATCTTCCTACACTGTGCCATAAAGATTTTCACACATTTCAGGTCTTCTTTTAAGAAGATCTCGGTTCTGGAAATGCTTACACATAGTTCCCAGTTTGTGGAAGTTAGTATGTAAGATGTCTTTGAAGGTTTTGGACTTCAGTGGTTTTCTTGCTAGTGTTGAAAAATTCCTTTGGGAATTTACATGAGTACTACTGTGAAAGGGGTAGTTGCCATTACTTCTGTTCTGTGCATTTATTGAATTTGTGATAATTTCCCTTGATGCAAATACAAAAGTTGATGTATTGTCCTGTTTATTTTTGTTGTTTTAGGAGTCTTTGGATGATTGTCAAGTAGCTGGAGTTTGTACAACAGAAGAAGTGATTCGCTATGAGTATCATGTCTTGTACTCCAGCAGCTACCAAGTGCCTGTGCTTTATTTCAGAGCATGCTTTTTAGGTAAGACCGACGAATCGTGTATTAAATATGTGGGATGCAGTAGATGTTAAAAACATGGATTTCTATGTTAAAGTGAGGAACAGATGTGTAAAATAAGAAAGATATGGGGCTGCTCACCAGTTAATTTAATAACATAGAGCTTGAGGACCGTGGAGTAGATGATATCACCTCAGCCTGAGGAAGGCTGAACTTTGGCTCCTGGCATCTTGCCTGTGGTTGACTAAAACTACCCGTCATTTTTCTTGTTCCTTTTCTTGAAATGACTGCAGAAACTTAATGCTGCATGTTTGAATTGGGCCATGCAGTAAGTGGGCATAATCCCAGAGCTTGTGTGTTTCTTTGGAGCCTGAATTTGAGCCAAAAGGCTGGGGTCTAAATGTGTCTTTAAAATTGTATGCTGTTTTCTGTTTAAATTTGCTGCTTAAGGGAAAATAAAATAATACCAATATGGTATTGAGTTTTTGTATTTAAACTGACTCTGGAACCACTAACTGATCATCTTTCCTTCCTGAAATATGCATCTTGTTACCCAAGGCCACTGTTTGTGTCACTTATTTAATCAGCACACACAGAGTGATCACACTGCGGCATTGGCTGTGCTCTGTTCCTCACTGCCCAAAGCCTGCGTCCAGCACTGGTACAGGCTGCCCAGGGCAGTGGTGAAGTCACCATCCCTGGAAGTGTTCAAAAAATGTGTGGATGTGGCACCTGGGGACATGGTTTAGTGCTGAACATGGCTATGCTGGGTTAAGGCTTGGACTCAATGATTTTAGAGGTCTTTTCAGACCTAGATGATTCTTTTTTGTTTTGAATAATATCTTACCTTTATCTAGATAAAGATATCTGAATGTTGCCAGTGATATCTTTTCTTTTTTAATTAAAAAGTAGCTTAAGCTGCTTTATATGTGTTTGGTAGATTTAATCACTCTCTGCCTTAATGGTTTCTAATTTTGCAGTGTTGGCATTTTGAAAGGCACTTCACATTCAAAATTGGAGAACAAATTCTCATAGACTCCCTGGTGGAAAGATTTTAGTCTGAGGTGCAGTTTCAGGAATGGATAATTTGGGGTAAATTTTCCGACTGGGACATGGGGAATTGGGGACATTGCTCTGCCTTTACCACCAACAGAACTCATTTGCACACATCCTGCTGCAAATTTATTTCTAGCTTTATTACAGGCTTTTACAAATGTGCGTTGTTTTGCCTTTAAACTTATTTTGCAGACAGGAGGACAAAGGAAGTTTTGCTGTGAGAGACAGGTTAACCTATTTGTGGTCCTGAAAAATGTAATTTTCTTGATTTTTGCTGAATTAATAGTTCACTGTCTCTACAAGAAGAGGACGGAGATGCTGCAGGTAGAGGAAGTAGGACACTATCTCTGCTGTACTGTACTTTCATATAATTAGTATTCACCATAAGCAGTTAATCACCAGAGAAGAGCTCACAGAGACAAAACAAGTTGTTTAGCTTGTCAGCATCAGGGAATCGGAGGTGTTGAAACATGACTCCTTATAGCTGGAAGTGAGTATTACAGGAGCCAGTGGATGATCTAATGCACAATCATGGTATTATGTGCAAACAGCTCCCCTTGCAGTACAGAATTGTAATTGTTCCTGCAAGTACAATTATCTTTTAGAACAGTTCTTGGGAACCTTTCACAATGGAAAGCAAGCGCTTTTTTTAGATACTTCCTGAAGTCACCTGGTTTCTCTTCAGAATTTTACTTTCTCTTTTAACGTTTAAGTATACCTGACTCTTGAAGAAAGAAGGCTACAAAATGGTGGCAATAAGTGTGTTTCCTACAATGTTTTCAGCAGGTATTCTCTGATTTTAATTTTGGATAGCTTACCTTTGAAATTCTGTCTTCCCTGCACATTGTTTGCCTGCCTATGTTGTGCTCTCTGAAGGTCCCAACATGGGTTTTTTGAGACTATGTAGGTGACAGTCGCTCACAATCTCTTGAGATACCTGAGCAATGTATGTTTTATCTTGTCCCAAACCTGGTATGAGGAAAATTCAAGGCAATACCCTGAGATTTTTTTCCTTTGAGGTAATAGTCTTCATGTGATAGGCTCCTCACCTTGTTTCTCAGACAACGAGCAATACTCACTGCATTCCTCATCTGAAATAATCAAGGAAGAATTTTCCAGACACCTTCCTCAATTTCCCAGTCTAAATTCCTACCATTATTTGTAGATTACGTAACAGAATCAGTTCCTCACCAGTGTTTTGTGAGCTGTTCATGGTTTCCCTTGAGTCCTGTCCGTACTGATCCTGATGTTAATTAGAGCTGTTGCAGGGGGTGGAGGTGAGCTGTAATCCTGCCAGGGTTTCCACAGCCCTGCCCTGTTTTGCTTTCCACAGGAGCAGGACACAGAGTTTGAATCCAAAACTCTGCTTCCTTCCTGGCAGTGTGTTCAATGGCCATTACACCTAGATGATGATGATGATGATGATGATAATAATAATAATAATTCTGTTCAACCTGGTAGAATAGTTTTGTTGTATTCACTTCCTCACTTTGTGTGTTCTAACAGCAGCTGATGCAACCTGTCCAAATCTGCCAGACTCTTGACAAACTTTTCTAGAATGATGAAATCCTACCTTTTTCCCACTATATGTGAGTCCAGTTCCCACTGACTTGGTCTCCCACAGTCCGTCCTAGGAAAAAGGCTCCCTGTAGAGTTTCTGGAGGGATTTTCCTGTCATTTTCAGCTTGGTTGGCATCCTTAGGAGCTTGTATAGTGAAGACATTGCTTCTCTCTACCTCTACCAGTTATGTTCAACCACTACAGATCACTTCTTCCTGCAGAAGGGAAAAAGTTGCATTGTACCCTGATCCTTGCTGCTGTCTAAATTGGATGAAATAGCTTATTTTCTCGAATTCATCTATAGACCTCTTTTTTTTTTTTTTTTTTTTGAGATGAAGTTTGATGCGTAAAATGGTGTAAGGTAAGGTTTGAAATTTTAATTGCAGCAGAACTAAAACATTCTGAGAGACATCTAAACTTCTTGGTAGTTTTTGGGTGTAGATTTACACGGAAGATCTTGTTCTGTGCAAGGACAAATACTTCAGTTGAAAATAATGATTAAAGCGTGATGAGTGTGTCTGGAAAGATGCTTGGGAACACTATAGGATGCCAAGAAGATATTTTTAGGCTACATGTATATACATAAGAAACGTTTTTCAGTACCTCATGATACTTCCCCACGTGGCACATATTCCTGAATTCAGACCTCCTGAAGTAACAGTCTGTGTCAGGGGCTCAGGGCTGTGGTTCCAAATACCTCAGAGGCTCATTTCTCCAAAAATCAGCCTTATGCCTGCCATACCTTCCAGAAACAGGAGCCCCTCTTCCTTTCTCTGGCTTTTGAGACTACCAGGTAGGTAGTTGAAGAAATGCATGAACCCCTGCTGACATCACCCCTGCTGATATGTGATGTCAGCAATTAGCCCTCTTGGAGACAGATGGTGTAGGCAATTATCCTTCCTCTTCAATGCTGGCATTGGCCAGATGGGCTGGGCTAGGTCCAGTAAGCTTTCTTTAATCAGCAGAATATCAGAGTATTTACATCTTTTCTTCGTCTTTAAGATGCTAAGGAACTTTGGTCTTTTCCTAAACCACCCTTCATCTGAAGCCATACATTCAAAAACCTCTTGCCATACATTAAAAAACCAGAGTGAAGTAGCAGCAACACAATCACAGGTGAGCACAGGCACCATTCAGGAATTACCCTGCCCGCTAAGAAAATGATGGCTCATCTCACACTTCTTGTTTTACCTGAAAAGGTATAGGAATTGTCATAAATACTGTCTAAACACTGAAAAGAAAGAGCAGAACTAGTGGGAATCAGTAAGGGCTTCAGCCTCACTCCTCTAGAAAAGAGAGAAGGAGTTTAGTTTTCAAGCTGATCTGCTCAAAATCCATCTAGCTCTGTGACATACAGCTAAATCCCAGCCAACAAGAACCATGCTAATCAGTGGTTAGGGAGAGTGAGCTTCTGAGGTAGTGTAACTTCCTCCAACCCTGAAGGCATGACTTACTGTATTCATAACCATACTGGAACTGGCTGAAGTACTTTCCAGAACGCAGATTTACTCCCTGAACTCAGAAACATGTAACCACCATGTGCTTTCTCAGAAATACATCTGCTCTTAAGACCATGTCCCATAAGAACTGATTTTATTGTGGCTTTGAGCATAAATGAGATTGAATAATTAGTATGATCTGATACTCCCTTTAGCTGTAACGGTGTTTTTTCTCTTTTGGCAATGGTTTCTTAAGATTGCTTTTTTATTAAATGTGTCAGAATGATGCCTCAAAACAGTTCTGTGCACCATTTCACCCAAAAGTGTAAAAAAAACCCTTTAATTGGGAATCTCAGAAATTATTAAAAACTTTTAAGTGGGAATGTCAGAAATTCTTCAAAACCCTCAGTAAACATCAAGAAAACAGAGTACAGCAACTTTGGAAGCCTCAAAATTTTCTCTGAGAATATATGTGGAATTTGCCTGCCTAAAGAATTTCCAGTCTGCAGGAATTAAGGTACCAGCTGAGAGCTGTAACTCCTCTGTGGTCTTAAAGCCTCACCTTGCTGCTGTAAGAGAGCATTCAACCTCCTGCTTTTTAACTGTTTCTTATTTGTGGTGACATGATCGAGTTAACCCTAAGTGGGCTATCGAGAGGCTTTTCTCAGAAAAGTTTGTTGTAGTCTAAACAGCTTAATAATAAAACTATCCCATCTAGGCTTGGGATGAGCCTTGGGACACGGAGCAAACTGTGTCCTCATGGGTGGGTGATGAGTAAATGTAGTGATGGTGAATCTTGAGCCTCTGCCTTCCTCTCCTGCCACTTCTCTTGGCTTGGTGCTGCTGTTTCCTCCTCTTTCTGGCTGAACTTCCCGAGTTCAGCTCCATGACAGGGAAGAATGAGGCACAAAGCCGAGAGGCTGGTTGGCTCAGCAGGTGCCACAGTGGCCCCCTTGTTGCCAGCAGCAACAATTACTGACTGCTCTACCAGCTCAGATGGATATTAAAGGTCTCAGTGGGTTGCAAGAATGTGCAACAGGGCTGATTTGCTCAGGTGTTGATATAAAAATTCCCAAGGGAAGGTATACAGAACAAAATGTGGAGTGGCAAATCGAATGTTGCATCAGGAAGTGTTATTCTAGATTTTGGAACTGTCTCTGCAGGTTGAAAACAGAATTGCAGGTGTGTGTGGCATCTTCTGTTACCTGCACACAGGTGATGTGAGCATAAATACATCCTTCTAAAGTTAATTACATTAGAATTTAGAAAAATTAGAATTTGTAAATACAGATTTCTTAGTATTAGCAAACCATGTCCAGCACAGCTCTGGTACCTTCATCATAAGACAGTGGACATGATGGTCTAAGAAGTCTTGTGCCTGTGAGGATGCCATGGAATAGCTGGTTAATATGCTGTTACCCCCTCAGATACTTTAATCGCCACATGATTTTGCTATGTGGTGCTTCCATAAGTTCACAACTTGGTGCTTTTTTATAAATATATATGCAAAAAATAAAAGAGAGGCAGTAGGCAGCTGGTTGGAACTTATATCTAAACATGGTATTCAAATGTTAATTGTGTGAATAACTCTTTTTCATTTTACAGACATGCAAATGTCAGTAGAATAAAACTATTTGTTACAGGATGATGGTTTCTGACACCTGATAAATGCCAAGATGAAGCTACTTATTGAAAGTGTATCAAAATACTCTGTTTGCCATAAACAAATGCTCATTAAAAATTGAAATGCTTATTTTCTAAGTGGTTGACACTAATATCTTGGCATAATTCTAACATCATAGCTAAAAATCTGATGCAACAATACCATACAAACGGAGCTCAAGAAAAAAATTAAGGGCATGTAGGTTACCAAAACGCAGCAAACTTTTATCTGCAGAATTTTACTCCTTAGATTTTGTCCACTTTCTCATTATACATTGGACGTATTTATGCACTAGATCACTCTTCATGGTGTTATTTTGTGGTTTTAAATTAATCTCATCCAAACTTTTGTTTTACAAAATTAGCTTCAGTTTTACTATTTTGCCATTGCATATTAAAGATATGCATAAGAGCTCTGACTGGGGGTGGTTTTTTCTCCCCCATCACAGATGGAAGACCTTTAACTCTAGAGGAAATTTGGAGAAGTGTCCATCCATGTTACCAGGATCGTCTGCAGGAGGGGCCCTGGGACACCATCACACAGCAGGTGAGGATCCACTGGTCCTTTACAAAAATTTGGGAATGCAATATATGCCTGAGAATTGTCAGTGGCCTTATTCCTTTCCTGGACACAAGTAATAAATATAAATATAAAAATAAATATGTATACATAGATATACACGCAAGTCTAACTCTGCTTGTGCTTAGCCAGTTACCAGCAGTGGTTTCAGTCCTGAGTTTGAAAGAATATATAAGCGTTTGCCATTTAAGGCTTAGTTTGACAGTATCTCACATTTAGAATACTCCTCCAAAGCCAATCCAGAAAAATTCAGGCGATTTCTGAGTAATTGTGGATTTGGGTAAATACAAAAGTAGACATATTTATATAAGTAAAAGATATTATTGTAACACTTCATGGGTTGTCTGGTAATCAAATTACCAAAAAGGTAATTTGTGTCATTTTCAGTTTTAAATAGACTTGCAATCCTCAGGACTCAATGAGGGAAAGTTTGTATCTCATCAAACAGTAAGTTATTACTGTCTAATAGTGAAACATGGTTCAGAGCTGACTTGGTTGCTCTGATCTCTTCGCTTTTACTCCAGCTCCCCAGTGCAAGTTTGGACAAAGACTAGAGACTCTCCAGGTGTGAATTTTTTTTCCCATCAGACCAAGATACCAATGTGTCCTTTATCCCTCCCCTTTCCTTCCTTGATATTTTGGTTTTAGCTGTTCCAGGTCTCTTACCACAGCAGCTGACACAACGGGGATGTGAGTTCTACAGGTGTTCCCCTAATTAAAATAATACAGTTTAATTACAGTATGCCTACTTGTAGATGGTACTAAGCCATGGGAACACAAGCGGCTTTCTTGTTTTTTGCAGCCATGGACTATTATTTATATTATAACAAGCATTGTTTTTCTCGTGTTTGCTGGGCATGTCTGAATTCCAGCTGAGAGTTGGCAGATTATTGTAATACACACTTTTACATAAAACATTAATTACCTGACTTGTCTATGAATGAAGATGAGAAAATTAGGTTTTAATGAAATAATGTAATAATGTGACACTACTGAGAACAAGGCATAAACAGTATGTTTGGAATGTGTAAAATCAGAGTGGTGGAAGCCAAAAGGAAAAACAGGTCACTCTAAAATGGGGATTATTTTTACCTGTTAAGGGACGGTAAAGTAAAAACTGTCCTGCATCTAATAACTGGAGTTGTATGTAAGAAACATACACACGAAGTCTTGCAGAAACAGGGGTTTTGGGTGGAAAAATGTGTGAAGAGATGAACCTGTCTCTGTGACACCTCTCCAGAGGCAGTTCAGCCACTGTGAATCCAGTGACAAACATGAACTAAGAGGAAAAGAAGAACATTGTTGTAGAAATTTAGTAAAGTTATATATATAAGCAGCAAAATGTGACTTCCTGTTGAAATAAGGAGATTATGGGAGATAATACAAACACTGTAAGCACCAGCCTGCAAGCGTCAGATCAAAGCAAGAGTTAAGTCTACAAGAAAAAGAGTGCTTTCCTCCCTCAAATGAATCAGGGCTCTGAATGGAAATATGGAGTTTTCTCTTCTCTCTCTGCTTCTCTGCTGACCCATTTTGTTATGTGGGTTAGGCTTTGCCTGCAGGGACACAGACCCTACAATGCAAGTCACTGGGCAGGCTCATCAAATCAGGCTTGAACACTCAGTACACATGAACAGCAGAGAGAAAAGGTTTAAGATTTTAATCCAAAACAGATACAGATTTTTAAATACTACAAGCACTGCAGCATTGGGAGGAAAAACAGAGCTTACCAGTGTCCACACATATTACTTAACTTTTAACTAGGGCTGATTTGTACTTTGATTGGCAGATTAGGAGAAGAAAGGCTTACTGTCTGGTTTCTTTTGTCCTCCCAGATCCAGGATCTTACACTAATCATTTGGGACTTTTATTCCAATATGTTTTATGAAATGTAGGTGCCATGCCTTGTGCAGATTTCTGATACAACTGTATTTTGGCTTATACTCTCTGTGGTAAAATATATCTGAGATCAGGAGCTGAGACATTGCTTGAACTCCAAAGAATGTAGGTATTTGGCATTTACTGAATTTTATGTAAAATTCAGACTTCTGTGGTTTTGATTGTTGTAGAACGTCATACTCGTTTTCAGAGAAAGCGTCTTTGAATATTTTTACTGACTAGATTACTGGAAAAATCAGAAGTCAACTAGTTACCTTCTCATAAATAAATTAACATGATAAGGTTGCGTAGTATTTTATAATGATAATTGATAAATGGTGATGATTTAATTGCACTTCCTCTAGTAATAACCTTAAAATGCTCAAATGAAGTTCCTGTGATTGGCTTTCTTCTGAGGTAAATCTCCCTGGAGCCTTCAGTCATCCCTTTGCTACATCCGGCGATAACTTGCTTTAGCTGTTTTAAATAATATAAATCAATTAGAACACACAGCTGTTTAACAAAACTTCTAAATGTTGCTACAGGTCTCTGTGGGTATTTCCTGATGGCTTATAATGACATCAATTTAGCACACCTGGTAAGATCTGTGTGAGCTGGAAGTAGCTTAATTCTGCAATGACAGGAAAATTAAGGAGTATTTATGGATTAATGTTGCCTTCCAGAATTGTTGCCAACTGTGGATTTTAGCTTCTTTTTACAAAGATTCAGAAGTGGAATTGCAGATATTGCATGCCTTTCTCCTGAATAGCTTACTTTTACAACTTGGTGGGTGCTTTTAGTGTTATTTATATTACTTATTTATAAGTGTTAGTTATATTAGTTATTTAAATATAATATAAATATAATATAAAATATAATATCAGTATTAGTTATTTACACTATATAAAGCTATACATAAATATTTTGCATATATTTTTGCATATATTTATATGTATAAGTTGCACACAAATACATGGTGGCATTGTCTAAACAGCTCAAACAGACTAGTCCTTCTGTATGTAATATCCACATAAATACTGTGGTGTAATAGCCCAGTTAAAAAGATGGCAGCCAGAAAGGGCCATGATCAAATGCTAAATGATAAGGCAATTTGAAAGAAAAAAAACCTCCACAAGAATAGGAAAAAGGTTGAAAAACAACAGAGAATAGAGAACAGGAATGAGACAAATGGGAAAAAATCTTCACAATTATAAAGGTGAACGTATTTTATCACATGTGCTTGGTGTAACAACCATGAATTTAAAAAACAGGGATAACTAATGTATAGTTAACCTCTAAAGGCTGCATTTGACCTTTTTGTCATTTTGGGAATCTCTGAGGATGAGTGGGAGATGTGGAACAGCAGAAAGTGACTCTGCGGTTGTAGCCAGTCTTCTGTGTGGTGTGGTTTGGGTCTTTGCTGTGGAAGCTGGAAATATAGTAATTTTTCATCCTTTATTTGCCCTGATGAATACTTATAGAAGTGCATACAAAGTAGAAGGACCTCAGCGGGAGGAGGGACAAGACTCAAGAGAAAAATGCATTTCTAAGACTATGATGAAGCTGAGTTTATTAATTTTATTAATTTTATGAGTGTACATGCCCAAGTCCATTGTTGATTCTTGTTATTTGTGCTAGTCTGTGTCTTCATTGATTTTTTTTCTGGGTAGAAGCAAACTGGCAGGAGAATTTTAAAAGCTGATAAATGAACCTGATCACAGTCAGTACTAAGTATCACCGTTTTGTTTTTAACAGAGTGATGTTGTCATAAAGCCTGACCTTTCCCTGAGAAAAGAAAGTCATAAACACAATCAAGTGTGTGTGCTAAGGCTTAATCAATGCTTAGTGATGATGAAATGTAAAATCAAATATCCAAGGGGTAGAAATCGAACTTTGTTATTAGAGGGAGCTCAAAGGTTGAAACTACCCAATAAAACAGAACAAAAGTTTGGTGGCTACAGATCCTACAGAATATAGATCCTACAGAAATAGTCTAAAAAACCAATCTGTGAGTCAGGATTCCAGAGTGGTAGAGCACGTGTCCATCCATCCCTCCCCTCCTCTTTAACCAGCACTGCTCAGATACAATTACTTCTGTTATCAACAGCCATTGGAGGGAGTACATTTCATGTGTGATTCCTTGGCTCTGGGTTTGCCAATAATAAACCAGCATTTTGCTGGTTTAGCACTTTGCTCCAAAAAAAGTCATTCAGACCATTCTGACACTGACTGTGTCCTAAGTCTCAGAATAGCAAGTGATCAGGAGTTTTGCGTCTGTTTTTTTTCTCAAGCATTTATTTCTCAGTTTAATCTGAATGAGGTGGTTTTTTATCTGTCATTTGATACTTAGCAGGTAGCTGTAATGTAATCTCTGTTATATGTCTTACATGTCTGCTCTGTCATATAAAAAATCATCAACCAAATCTAAACTACCCAAATCACAGCACAGAACTGCACTACCTCTGTATTAATCCAGAGTCTGTTCTTTTTCAGTCAGGAGTTAGGAATCTGAAAGACATGTTCTTTATAGTACTTCAATAATCCTGTCCATTACATCACTTAATTTATTACAGTGTTAACAGAAAAATCAATAAACATTATTTCTAAAATGGCAGGGATGTTAATAGTGTGATTTTCAAAAAGGAGAAAGAATCAAAACTCTGAACAGAACACACTGACATAGTGTTGTAGAGGCACATCTTGCTGGAAATGTGATAGGGAGGATTTAAATCATTTTGAAAAATATGTGTAGGTAGCTATTCTTAGACATACAAATCTTTCTTGCCATATTGTGGGATTTTGCTAAGTGGGGGAGGCTGTATACAGTATATCTTAACAGAAGTTGCTAAGACCTCTCTTAAATCATTTTGAATCATATCAACAGTTGCTATGGATCCTCTACTAATATTTTTGGAAAATTATTAGTACAACTTCCTGAGAAAAGGGAGTCTTACCAGTGCAGACTGGAAAGCTGTTTGACAGGGAAAAGACCTAGAGGTGGGAAAGCTGGGTGAATATTTATTTCCCGCTAAAATTTTCTACAATGTGTTGAAATTCTGGGGTTTAAACCTAACTTTAGTACTGTACAA